GACCCGCTCTCGACCTAGTTACCACACCCCTTCTAATACACCCCAGGATGCCACTGGCCTCCTTGGCCATGAGGGCACATTGCTGGCTCATGGTCATCCTACTGTCCACCAGGATCCCCAGGTCCCTTTCCCCTACACTGCTCTCCAGCAGGTCAGTCCCCAACCTATACTGGCACATGGGGTTATTCTTTCCCAGAACATCTGTATTTGGCTCAAGACTGCAAGAAAAGGTTGGAAGATCCAGGTTGTCTCTGACTCAAACAGTGCCTCAGAGCTGTTCCACTAGGGAGAAGTCTGTGCAACAGTAGTTGACAGAGAGAAGTGTCTTCCTTTATGGAGGCAAACTGTGTAATTTTTATAACATTCTTAAAATCTGTGCAGATTTTATGCCCTAGACTTTCTCAAAAAAGCACTATTACACACTCTAAGAAAGTTTTTACAGTTAAGGCACATAAAACTCAGCAGATCTGAGCAAGTGGTAACATAACTAACAGTCTTTAAAAGTTAGGGAGTATACATCTGAATTTCTTTCACATAGCAACTGCTGCAACTCTGCAAGCTGAAAGTAAGGAAAATGAGACAGTTTTACTACACCTGTTTCTAACAAGAGTTCTAACCTTTAACTATTTACCCTGAGGTAATTTAAAAATAAGCAATTATTACCATTTTCCATCTAAGGAAAGGGACTACTGTGGTAGGGAAGGCAAACAATAGTATGCCTGTAAGATAGAATTTTCCACAAGAAAAATAAATTGAAATACAAGTAGCTAAACTTTCTGCTTTCCAGGTCAAGATCGTGAAGAGCAAATAGCTCCTATACTGTTGCCTACCATCTTTCTCTGAATGGGAAATTGAATTAATAAACTTCTAGAATTATTCTTAACAAAGCAGAACGGGAAAAAAAAAGAGAAAAGGTTAACATTGATATATGAGCACTTGTTAGCTGAGCACTACATATCAACTTGACAAATACTATGGGTAATATCAAATTATATTTATAGTGACTATCTTCTATTAATAACTGCTACATGTCAATAAACCTTATCTACTAGCCTAGATACTTATAAATATTTTTTGCATTAATATTTGTTGCCAAATACTGGAGGAATAAAAATGGACTTTGGAAAGTAAGGACAGACCCTATGGCTGAAGACGAAAGCAAAAAAAAAACAAAAAAAACCTCCAAATCCCCTAATCTTACAGCAGGCACTGGCAGTTCATAGATTCAGCACTAGGGGCCACTGTAAGCCAAGCAACCTCGGGGAAATAATGCACACACTGAAAACGTCCCAAGTAATCTATTAATGCAATTGCAAAACACTTTTCAATTTCAGCGATTTTTGCCAAAGAACAAAAATTAAATGGTAAACACGAAGGAGAATATATTCTTAAGGTCCTAAGAAAGTCTTCAGTATTGTTTTTTCTTATTCTTCTTTGGCTTGTCTTTCCTTTTTAGCTCTACAGGAAAGTAAGAGCTGTTTACACAAAACTCTTTTGTTTAAGCTAGAATAGGAAAGTAATGGAGGTGCATTGCATGTGCCAGTGAAGTATTGCCATCACAAATACAATGAAAAACTATTGAATCTTTTACATGGCATGATTCCTCAGAAATTATCAATGCCAGTATCTTCTTTTTACTGGATTGTGTTGCAAAATCTTTTAATTGCTTAGCTATCAGAGAGACAGAAGGAGAAAGAAGAGAGACAGAAGGAGAAAGAAAAGCCTAAAATATTAGGGAGCACTTTCTGCAGTCTCAGACTTTTCCTACTGTTCTCAAGGTTTTATTAGATTTAGATGTAACATTGCCATATCTGTTAACTCATCCCGTTCCTGTAAAATAAATGCCTGAATAACTTCCACTAAAGAACAAAGGGGAAGTTATTAGTAAAGCATATCCTGATTTTCTGACCTGTAGAGTGCGTTGCTTGGAAGCCTTTTCTTTGAACTGATGCATCAGAAATAAAGCGGAGAAACATTTTGTTCCCAGTAGCAATAAGAGGATCTGGTATCTTGTTGCCACACAAGCGTCCCAGAATTGGAGATTTTTCACTTTCACCATCAAACACTTCCAAGTGGTCGTAAGCACATTCTTGATGTTGTTCTATCTCAAATTCGTTGAAAGTCTACAGGAGGGGGAAAGTGCAAAATGACTCAACGTAATATGGTGTTTACTGTACTTCCGTGGTACACATTTGCTGTTAGTAACTGTTTCAGAATACAAAGTATATGTAGTTAGAATGACAGATTTAACATTACTGCCCCAACAAGCCTGTAGCTTTGAAAAACATACTGATTTTAAGAAAGTGGAATAACAACTAGGATAGTAAACTTTAAGACAGCATCATCCTTCAAACAGAAAGGGATTAGAATCTTTATAGCCAATGAATATCCAAAAGAGAATATTAAATCTAGAACACAGTAGCCTTTCTGTTGAATTTGCACTGTTTATAGGATTATTCCAAACTTCAGAGAACATTCAAAACAGCAAAAACACAGAAATTATTGGTTCCTCACAAAAACAAGGATGGATTGAAACATCTGCAAAACATAACGCACACACCCCCTTTTCTTTTTTAAACTTACTTTACCCTGCAGCTAAGTCTTTGAGAATGACTTTTCCACATGAATGGTTATGCATGAAAGTTGTATTTTCTAATCTGTTATCTGTTATTTTTATTTCTTACAACACTATTTCATGCTGCAACCTTAATGCTAAAATCCCATTTTTGCTAGTGAAATCATTGTGAAAAATAAAAAAGTTATGTTGCTTACTTAAAGAACTTCAGCAGTCTCTTTTGCTGTTCTCATTTCTCCAAAGAAATCCAAACTGCTGCCATAGTTTGAACACAAACTTGAGCTCACAAGCTTTACTTAATTTCAGATCTGTTCAAAACAATTATATCTTAGTTTCTGAGTATCTAGAAATTCTTAGTCTCTCTCAGTGCTCATGGCAGTTCATAAGGACAAATTCAGATCTATGAAAATCTGTAAATTGCAAGTCCTTTGGAGCAGACCCTGACCAACTTACTTTTAAAAACTTTTGGAATTTTGACTTCTCAAACTCAAGAGTGTCCAATCAAAGACATTCCTGAAAGGTATATGCGATACTCTGCAAAAACTGTCAAAACACATACAACTAATACCTGGTTTTCAAATATGAAAGCATGTCTTCCACACATCTTTGTGAATTTTCAGAAATAACCCACAATTTAAGGTGAAATTCAAAATCTGTTTTGTTCAGTTAAATTGCATAAAAACACCAAGTATAAATGCTCCCATGAGCAGTCATATAGCTGACTTTATAAAAAAAAAAATCAAAACCCCCAATAAAACCTGAAACACTAAGGGATTAAGAAGCAATAATTAAAAGGAATAAAATTGAACTGTCAAATACTGAGAAAATACCATAATTATGCATTCTACCTGGTACACCAAAGCACATCTGACCTGCTGAATCCCTTGTGGAATCCTGCCAGTGTGAAATGCAATGGTAATTTATATTAACAGCTAATGTAAATACAAACAGCTAACACAAGGTCTTTTGCCCAGAGAACTGGAATATTCAAAGTAACACTTTTGTTTTGTGAGAAGAGTTGCATGATGCAGTGGATGCAGGTTCACTTCACAGGAAAGTTATGAGTTTTATATTAAAGGACTGAAACTGCAGAGGCAGCGAAAACAGCTGTACAGCAGTCCCTCCTGCTGCTCTTAAATTGTAGTCAGCCATCCTACTTTTATGATGCCAAGTACATGTTGCCATTTATATCCAATTAAAATGTGACAGATTAAAAAAAACAACAAACCAACAAAAAACCCCCACAAAACTGAGAGACTAACTGTAAGGGAGGTACAGAAGTGAGTCGAGCCAACTTGGAATCAACAGGAGCAATAGATGTGATCCAAGAGCAGCCTGCAGAACTTTGTTTTTAGAGGAAAATTATATCGGTTTTGTTCACTTCCCATCAGTACAAAGATGACCCTCTAGGAAGCACTTCTCACCATGAACTGCAAGACACACCAATTTTTAACATTTGATTTATCACTGGGATTCCTAAGCCTGCTGGGGAATAGTATATGTTTTATGTGGTCCCACACAGAAGAATAGAAAAAAGTGCTAAACCTGTGGTGAGTCTAGCAATTTATTCTAGCAATTACAAAGAGAATCAAAGGAATTTACCTTTTAAAGGGAAAAGCAGATCTTAACAGCAAGCCTTCTAAAATCTCAATATGCCTGATACCTCAAAACACTCAGACACAATCTTAATTTTTTTTTTAAAAGTGATCAGTTCCCCGAAGTGGACTAAGAGCAGGCTTGAAAGAGAACTGTCACAAACTTGCCTTAAGTTGAGCATAACTAAATAGTTCCTGCCAAGAGTACACAGGTGATTTAATAAAGATGGTAGCATAATTAAATCACACTCAGTCTTCCTGGGACAAATACTTTCGAATACCTACCCCACCGTGACTACAGTCCTCATTTTGATTGTCTCATTAGTGGGAATGGTATTCAGAAATGTTACATATAGCTTCTGAGCATCCAGCCCTTTCTATCTATAGCACTCAACTGAGTAGATATGTTGGTGGCACTTATGGATAGCTGCCTGAATGGGACACTTAAATCTGTCTCTTATAAACATCCGGCTGATTAGCTTATGAAAATCACTCTCTCCGCTACATACATTTTCAAAGCCATCGTTATCTACACGTTTCATTTAAAAATTCTGAAGTGCATATCCATTTTTTTCATAGGCTTCTTAATTACACCAAATGTTTAACTTTAGCTTTTTCAGGAAGAGATTCAGTGATTACCAGAGTGAGAGCAATCACAACAAAAGATTAGTTTCTGCATATGCATGCCTAAAAAAAATGAAGCACAGCCTCACAATTCATGTGGTTTGTTACCATGAAGAAATCAATTCTCTTCTTGTTCAGTTTGACAAAGTAAACTGTGAGGAGTAAACTTAAATCTGATGTGAAAGTCCAAGAAAAAATATTTATCCATAGTGGAAGTATGGTATTAATATTATTGACATGGCATTTTGCTGTATAAGACAGACTTGCATGATATTATACACACAGAATTTAGTAGCTTGACCCTACTGGCTTTCCCAGAAAATTAATTTCAGACTCTAAATCATGGAGGTATTTTTGAAAATCCCATTTAGCAAAAATCTGTCTAATTTTTCTAATTTCACTGGCAAACGTCAATTCAAAACCCTATACTTTTAAAACAGACCATGTGATATTTCACTGAAGAAATCTGAATGCTGGAATTTTGCCTGCTAGGGTTAAAAGTACTGAAAAAGCTTTTACAGTAACATGCTCAGGCCTAGCTGGCTTTGATTTATTCAGCCAGGATGAAGAACATTTGCTCAGAAGTGGCAATAGGAAGGCCGCTCAAATCAAAAAAACTGCTTTTTACCCTTTGACTGTACAGAGCATACACACCACTCATTGTCCACCACCTCCACATCCCACAGAACAGTTTAATCCTTTTACTTCTGGTGAACATGGATCAACCTCAAATCAACATCAATAGCGGGGGTTATGGTTTTGGCTGAGGTCAGCATTAATGGGACAACACCATTGCTTTCACCCCTGCACTAATATTGGCTATTGTTTCTACCTCTCTGAAGCAGACATATCTCTCTTCTTAGGTTTATTTGCTCCATTGTTAAATCAATTTATCAGATTTTAAAATATGTAAGGCTAGCTTTTGCTGTGGCTGTCCCTTGAGTACTCTGGCTGAAGAAACAGTGGGACTGAGCTCAAGCAGAAAACTTCCCTGGGCAGGTCCACGCCTTTGGTTTTGTACATAGGCTGTGTAACCTCAGTAGACCTGCAAAGCTCCCTCAGCTCTGCTAGCCTCTCTTCAGCCACAAGCACTGTCCTCGGCCAGCTGGACACAGAAGTCATTTAAGCCTACTTAGACTGCTCTTCTACTTGCGTTAAAATTTGCAGCTACTTTTAAGTGAAGAGTCCAGATTCTTGTTTGGTTTTTTTCTTATTGTCTTCTCCACCTCAAAAGTACAAAACAGAAATGCAAAGGGATGTAGAGGGGACTCTTCATAACTTCTAATTTTCCTCATTCTATGTATTGGAGTTTTTGTAAATGGCCCCTGCCATGTTTGTCAAAACTTCATGCAAATTTTATGAATTGCAACAATAATATAGTAAAGACTGACAAGACGATAAGTATTCCTCTTGCCTTTGCTGTCCAGAGTATTTAAAATCACCACAAACTTCGATTCACAACTCTATGATATCGAGAAGCCCCAGGTGGCCAACAATGGACAGGAGTCATCAGGTTTTTAAAACAGTTTACCTCTGGGCTGCAAACTGATAACAAAGTTCAGCAAGAGTTTTGTATTGTTGCATAGTTAATTGGGAAGCACGCTTGGTGGAAGAGAAGAGAAAAAAAGGAAGGGTAGGCAGAAACTCACCAATTTGACCCTCTGCCCGGGGGTGGCACTGATTTCCCACGTGCACTCCTTTCTGCTGGGATACTTGTCGGGCCAATTGGGACTTGTGATGATACCATTGGGACTGTGGATCTTCTGTTCACACTCAGCTGTGCCAAGAGTGATAACATCAGTTAGTCTAGGGGTCTGCAGTTAGAAGGTAGCCAGAAAAGTACTCTTTTAGTATTTTTTTTTGTGTGTGTGTGTGTGTGTGTGTTCAGGGGGCCCACTGAATGGAAAGGATCTTTGGGCATGCTCTGAAGTGTGCATGATCATGTTCTTCCCATTTGGAACGTACTCTATGGCAATCAATCCAGGATGGTTTTTTTATTGATTGCTGATGAACATACACTGTTGTTTCCATTGATGATTTTTTTAAAAAATGTTATAAAGGAATAGACATAAGTATTAAAATTTAATCTAATCTGTTGCTATTCCTCCATTTTACATGCAAGTACATATGATAAACTGTACTAGATATCTTGCTACTCCAACTCCAAAGGACATTTCTTGAAAATTTTATTTTTCCCTCTTCTCACTAATTTTCATACTGCAGCTACAGAGCAATCATTTTAATTTCTAAACCACAGTTTCTAGAGACATATATACAACTAGAGAACAGCTAAGACTAAACTGTGAGTATGTACCAAAAAACAGCTTAGTCATTCACATTGTAACTGAATCATTAGAAGTGCATCCCTGCATAAATACAATGAACTAAAATTTTAAGAAGGCAAGCAACTAGTTTCATTTTTGTATTTAATTTTTTAAGCATCTCAAATTGCTTTATAAATAATGAGAATTATTCAACAAGAATCTTTTAGAGTAGGCAACTATCACGCCACCAGTGAAAATACAAGTGATTCGCAAAGGACACACCTTTACTCACAAATTAAATTGGTGCTAGAATACAGCCTTGAGAAATTTCAGTAACTCACATGATATTGCATGTTTGAGGTTCATTTGCAGATAATCTACATTCTACTTAAGCCCCAAAGCCTATTGTTTTCTTGAAGGTAGCCACACTTTGAAACAACAAAGGGGAAGAAAGATGCACAGGGACTTGGAATTTAGATTGTCTGAATGTCCCCTAAAATAAACCCAGAAAGGGCAGACACAGTTTCAGCCTGACTATGAGGAAACTGCTACTGATAGAAGCAAATGACAAGTTTACCAGGCTTCTCTCCAGAAACTCTATCCCCGTGTTTAATACAGCATTAGATAATCACCCTAACACAGCTTTAAATGTTTTACACTTCACAGCACTATTAAAAGTAGCACTCCCTGCCAATGATCCCAAGTTTTCCAAACTGCATTCCTGTGAACCTCAAACTCAGACATACATGAAAAAGGCGGGGTAGGCTTGGTAATGGCCCCATTACCACGATCTTTTTCTTTCCTTTCTTTTCATTGGCAGGAGAGTTGCAGAGAGCTTTCTGCAAGACAGTTGTATGATCAACTCTACAAATACCTTACTACTTACCCTCCTTGCAGTCATGTTTATTTTCATGTAGCACAAATCCATTTCGGCACTGGCAAACGTAGCTTCCTACTGTGTTGATGCACTCATGCTGGCAGCCACCGTTGTCCTTTGAACACTCATCCTTGTCTAAGTAAGACACAACAAGGGCAGGTGAGCATCACAACTAGCAGTAGTCCTTGTTACCAAAAAGAAAAAAGATTTAGCACAGTGTTTGAGTCCAGAAAAGGACAAGCTAAGGCACAGTCACTCTTTACAGTATGGTGGTTTCATGGTACCTCAGTTCTAGCAAACTTGTAATTGAGGCACAAATAGTCAGTCTCACCTTTCTAGAAAATGAGAGGTAGTTCCCAGGGAAGAGGAATAAACAGGTAAGACAGTTACCAGCATTTACTCTTTCAAGTGGTCTAGCTGGTAAAAATGTCATAAATATTTCATCCAAAGCTTTATTTCAGTAAACAACAAGAGTGTAATTTATGGACAAAGTATTCCAACTTGTTGGCCAAACAAGGTTTCAAGCACTGCACATTAAACACGTAAGAAAAGAAGCATTTAACATAAACTTTTTTAGTAAGTTGATTTTTTTCTACCAGCAGAGTGACAGTGCTTTACTTTAACAAATCTGAGCATTACAGAACATCATAAAAAGAAAAACATTTCACTGAAAAACATACAAAAGAAATTGGCATTAGCTATTTCAAGGAGGTCTACAATATAGCATGCGGTTCTGTTTATTAACATATAATCCTTCAAAAGAGCTTTTAGTGTTTTAGAAGTAAAGCAGAGAGTAGGGGAGGAAATATAACCAGCATTAAACAGCTACAAATTCATTGCATGGACAAAAGCCAAACTAGATTAACAGGCTGTCATTTTAGCAAGAGGCCTCAGCTGCCACCCTTCTATGTCATTCAGCTGTTGTGATTTGAGGTGAGGCTGGTCGATTTTAAAGAGACAGACTGCTCCTGACGGATACATATATATACACTCATACACATATATATGTATGAACAGGTATGTATGTACCTATATATATGTATAGACACCTATACATAAATCCTGAGATGCAAAAATAGATGCCTATACAAGTCTATAGATTTCTCTCTATATATAAACACATACATTTAAAAAAAAAAAATCTTAAAAAATGTGTCATTTCAACATGCAAAAGAGAGGAGGAAAAGGAGCAGAGGAATTGTGGTCATCCCAGAGGTCCAGTTGTTACAGGGCTGG